CGTTCTATAGCGTTGGAGCTGCTGCAGTGGTAGCGCGTCAACGGCAAGTATGAACATGGTCAAGTACGACATTATGGGTGGGAATGATCGATTTCGACCACCAGTGTAGCGTGGTTCTCTAAAACGCCGGTGAGCGGGGTCAGTACATTCCCAACTAGGATCCATCCGCCCGAATCCTGCACTCTTCCCGTTCGCAAAGTATAACCGCCACCGAACGACGATCATCCTCTCCAGCCTGCCAGAACTAGTTCAGAAAACGTATTTATCATTCCAGTTATCCACTTCATGGCTTCAAAGTGTATTCTCTTCTGAAATTCTCACCTCAAACTCATTCTCCATGGAATAGTGGCCGAAAGCGAATTTTGATGAGATCGCGGCACATGCACCACACGTTCCAGCAGCCATAGCGTAGGTACACACATTCCATGTCATATCTTTCTGGAATAACGTCGAAGTTTGCCTTGCGCTGATCCAGTGAGAGTAAGCATTTTGATGCTGATCATGCAATGCATTAAAAAAAACACTGCAATTTTTCCTTGTGTTTCAAGTGGAAGAAGAGTTTTCAGGAAGTGACGGAGGAATACAGCGATGGGTCACCTGGCTCACCGACAAGGAGCTCTTTTCCCTGAGTTGGGCATAAGCAAAAACTCTCATCCCCTCGGTCACGAACGTCCTTGCACCACTAACGCAGTCCACAAGTTGCAGAAATGGCATGAAAATGAATTTCGTACTTCTACTTATGGTTTTGAAAACTCTAGGCTTGGTTACTGCTATTCGAAGAAAAACGGTAGCAACTACGTTAACATTACGTTAAGGTCATGTCCATACCTCTGCTCCAAAATCAACTCTATGCAAGGTCGGTTTTCGTCATTATTACCCACTATAAATCTGGTTCGCGCATAATCGTCAGTCTACCATTATGTTCCCCGCCATCTTTGAATGATTTTGGGGGAAAAAGAAAGACACTTCCCCTCGTAACTTTTTGGAAAAAATGCATACTGTTAGCAAAGAAAAGGGACAAATGAAGGATCGTAACAATTTGGCACCATGTGGTCCCGCAGCGATGAACCACCAATGCGGGAGATTTCTGGCGCGCAATTTTTCGAATTTCTCCGAATCTGCTTTTGACATTTCCCATTTGCTTTCTTCTTCTATGTTGCGCGGCTGGTTTTTTCCTCATCTTTCAACAGGAGGATCTTATAGTGGCACCCTCTGACCTTGTTTCCCTTTTCCTTCTAGATTTGTCTGCGAACAGTTTGTGGAGCATGGAGTGTTGCTTATTTACAGGTCTAAATCCGAATCTAGTTTACGTGCTCCTCTCTCTTCTCGTTCACATCTAGTTTACGTG